CTTATTATCGAGGTCTATAAGTAGTACTATAACTTTAATTACTATAGTTTTAATTATAATAATTTTATTTATAATAAGTAAAAAGTCTAATTATAAATCCTTTAAAAGCCTCTTTTTAAGAGTTATAAGAGCTTCTAAATTAAGTTAAAATACTTATTAAAATATTAATAATTAAATTAACCTTATAATAATAACTTTAATAAAAAACTTAATAAATAATATTAAAAGCCTCGTTAATATTAAGTACGATTTATAAAATATAATAACGTAATTATAAAATATTATTAATATATTTTATATTAAAAAAGATATTATTAATATTAATAAAATAAATAAAGCCGTATTAATATAGTACTTTAACTTTTTTTTATAGCTCGAGGATAATTATTTTAAATAGTATTAAAATTTATTAAAAAGCTCTTTTAAGTATTTTAATATATTTATTATTATTTTTATAATAATAAGACTCTTAGTACTTATATATAAAAATAAGTTATTTATTTTTAAATAATAATATTAGCTTATTAATAAGTTATTAAAATTATAATTCTAGCGATTTTTTAATAAGGGAGAGGGTAGAATAAAAAAAAGAATAAGTAATTTATAAAAAGGGTTAAGGTTAAATAGTGCGGAATTTAAGGATAGGGTAGCGTCTATATGTACTGCGGTAATCCTTTAGTAATGCAAAACGATAGAGTTAAACAGTGAATCAATCACATATCCGTTACTCTCTGGGACGACGAAAAAGAATTACAGATACGTCAGATTTGCTTTCGCCTCACCTGTTTCAGGGCAAAGACGTGGGGACAATGACAAGCCGTAAATACTAAATGTAGGGTAAACCAACAACAGGCCAGCACCCAGCACCCAGCACCCAGGCCCCCCTCCGCCTCCCCGGTCTCGGGTATCCTGATCGCTGACGGAATGGTTTACTTATGTATGCCGTATATCGCGCCTCTTTGCATTGCGGCCGAAGATTTTACGTCCGAAAGGCAGCCCAGGCGCAACACACGCGCACACGCGCACACGTGCAGGACAGGGACCACGAAAAGAGACATCTGCATTAGTAGAGAAATTGAACCCCTTCGCCTTACTACCCAACTTGCCAAAACTTTTGCCGCGCCGCCTTACTACACCTCAGTGAGACTCATGTTTCCTGTCACCGTGACCGCAAGTTGTGAATGCCGTCCGTCCGTCCAAGTAAGGAAATTCCCTCCCCGTACCTGGGCTACTTGGGATCATAACTTCTATCACCTATAACATTACAACTCTCGAACAAACCCCCTTCCCCCTTCCCCCTTGCACTTTGCGCTTTGCCCCCCCCCCCCCCCCCCCCCTCCCCCCCTTCGCCTCCACCCCCTCCCCCACGTACGCGCACCCCCCCCACTGCTATGTGGTCATATAACATTTCACACCCTTCACCCCATCCCACTCCCTCTCCCCCCCCCCCCCCCCCCCCCCCTCCCCCCTCGCTCCTGCCCCCCCCCCCCCCCCCCCCCCTGGTGTAGGTTGTAACCTAGCACACATAGGTATCCGTAAAACCGGTGTGAGAGCAATTCGAACAAAAAATGTGATCGATTTTAGGAACGAGACTTGGCGGGTTGGGAATCGGGATTGCATCAGTCATCAATCACTTTTTTTTCTCTCTCTTTCGCACACTAGGCTTTTCAGTTTCCCTGTCAAACGGACGGACGGTTTGCGACTTTGACACTTTGACAGCTACTTAACCCCCTTTTCTTCATTTTACATTGTACTTCAACTAGGTTCACCAAAACGACGGCAAAATATCCCCAACGAGGTAGGTAGTGATAGTAGGAACCCGGAACGGCAGAGCAGGGGATACGCGCACACGGCTTGCCAAGCTAAATTATACTACCTTTTAGTACCTTATGCCTTTGAGTAAAAGGTAAGTTAAAAGGGCAAAAGCATATTCAGCAATTCCCGAGGCCGCCATATGCTGGGCCTGGGTTTGGGTTGAGGAGAGAGAGGGAGAGTGTGATCGGGCCTGGCTGGCGTAGCATTCCCGCCCTCTCCCGCACTTTTCACACGATTAACGACCTAGAACACTCCAAAGCCGCCCCAACAGATCCAAGGAACCGGTGGATGGGGGATGGGGGGATGTGTTTGTGGCGGTCTGCTGGGTGTCACCGAGTCCTGTCATCTGCTGCGTGGCGGCGGCGTCGTCGTCGTGTTCTACAGCTCAAAGTGCCAGATCAACGTTTCGACACAACGTCAAAAAACCTGAAATAAGGGATCGAGGCCTGGTGCCTGCTACCCGTAGGGGGGGCGGACGCCGCGGGACTGACGGACCGGGACCCAGTGCCATGGGATCAGTTCTCTTGAGCCGTGTGGCTCCCCCCTTCTGCCTTCTCCCAGGGGCATGGGTACGGGAGCGGTAGTAGAGCACATCCCAGGTTGATATGATAAGTGCGGTTGTTGGCAATAGTACTCGGTAGTAAGTGACGGGGAGGGGGGAAGAGGGTCCTTGCACCTTCACTTGGGTTACCGGGAGAAAAGGTGCGCCCTTTCTTCTGCACGGTCGGACGGGATGGACGGACACGGCGATGGGGGACGTAGGGTATGTGGCTGACGGGGGAGGAAGGCTGGACAAGGCGAGGCCGGCGGCGGCGGCGCGGGCGGTTTGACACGCAGGTGGGACGCGGGGCGTGGGAAAGAGGTGGTGGTCGCGATGGCCGTGATGGTCGTCTTTGAACGCACACACGGCGCGCCAAGGGGTTTAGGACGAGGGCAGCGGGAGAGAACCAGAACCAGAACCAGAACCAGAACCAAAGGTACGGGGAGGGGAGGGCTGCGGGTACGGGATGAGGCGGTAAGGCAACGGGAAGACCATACTCTGTTTGGGAGGTTGTGCCGGGTTAGGGGTTTATGAAATGTGATTTTTGGTGGTTTTGGCTTGGGCACCTGGGTCAGTCAACATTACTTGGAGACTTGGAGTTGGAGGTGCTAAGATTGGATTTGGGGTGGTTGCGTTGCAATTCTTGGGCGATTTTGAGATTCCCGGCCTTCTGCGGTCATCGTAGGATATGGGGAAAACGGCAAAAATGTGATGGGAAAGTGACGGGAACAAGCATAGGGAATACAACCTGGCAAAGGGGGGGCGTGTGAGCAAGGCAGAGAGGTTGACGACAAGGGTAGCTTTGCGGGTTTGGGTGAGAAGGTGGTGAGAGCCTCGAGTTTTTTGGAGACCAAAACTGATGATTGGGCTCTGCAGAGAAGCTCTTTCGTCGTTCTGGCTGACGTTGTCACTCACAAGTCACTCGACCTCAAAGGTACTTTGGGACGGCACGGACTGAGAGACTGATCGAGAGGGAGTAAGAGCAGGGCGGCGTCAGCGGCAGAGAGAGGGTGAGGTGATGCAAGGACATGAAAGAAGGTCGCAGCGCATGTGCTGCTGCTGCGTTGTGCTGCGCAGCCATCTCGTTTGAGTGATTCTATCAGGAATGAGAAGTGACGAAAGGAGAGGGGGAGCGTGGAGGGGGGCGTCGACCAAGTATTATGTAGACTCTACAAAGTAACGCATAGAAAGTCTGGAAATGGGGGCGGGAAGAGCAGAACATGCCAGATATAGGTAATCCATTGCCGGTATGAGACCTGTACAGGAAGAAGAAGAAAAAGTAAAGAAATAGAAGCTAGACAGAGTTACCCAAAGTTACGTTACTAAGGTAGTGTAAAAGGAGGTGCTAGACTCGCTTTCGACTTCAACTATCGTAAAACCCTGGATAGCATTCCAAGAGACTTGTTGAAGTGTGTGTGTGTGTGAGAGTGAAGTGTGTACACGAATAGAGGTGCCTAGCCAGCAGCGCGACGCTGACAGGGATGCGTTTGCTGGTGCTAACGCGCAGTATTCTCTGGAAATCTGATAGCTCGCCTCGATTGCCGATTAGTGAACTGCGCTAGGACGGCATTAAAGCGCCATTATGGAATCCCCTCCTGGTGATGGTAAAATTGAGATGAGAAAGCGTGAAAGTACGCGTTAAGAAAGGAAAAAAAAAAAGGGGTTTCGCTCTAGTTTGGTCTTGGGGGTATTGACTCGTCACCACCCCCCTCCGTCTGAATCCGCGGCGGTTTGACCGCTCTGGGATATGGAGATGGTAAGAGATATGGTGAGATGTACGGATAGATTGAGTCGCTCATGTGAGATACTGCAGTCGCAACTTGTTATGGACGCGGATATGTTTTGACGAAAGACCCTGGCATTTTGATCTCCAAATGATTATTGGTCCCCTCCCCGCCCCACGCCTTGTGAACGCATCAGTGATCACCCAACCTCGTGGTCTAACGGTCAGACTGGGTTGGTGAGATTTATTCCGGGGAAATATTATCCATAATGTGCTGTGGCCACCGACACGGTCCCGAATGCGACCAAGGCCTGCCCCCAAGACTGGGGAAAATAAAGAGGTTTTGCAAAGGAAAGAAAAAAAGCAAATAAAGGAAAAGGAATGTCTTGGGAAGAAGTTGTATGAGATGGCGGCGGAGGCTGGAGCTTGTTGGCAGAAAAGCTCAACGAAGGAGGGGTGTGCGAGTTGTGTAAGCTCCTGGTTGGTGGATAACACCCCCAGATGGAGAGAGCTTAGAGAGCTTCAGAGCCAAAGAGAGTGAGATTCTGAGAGATGCCTGAACATCATAGGGGAGAGAGAGACACACAGAGGGTGGGGACCTTTGGTTCATTCTCGTGTAACCAAACCTCTTGTCTCGGAGCTACAGCGTGGCACGCGGTGTATTTTTGCTTTTTCCTTTACCTGCGTCCTATGCCCTGCCTGCGTGTGCGGCGTGTTGCCTGCCGCGTAGCATCGGCCGCCGGGTCGAAGACAAGTGAAGGCCAAGGGGTGTGCGAGGAGTGACAGTCTATATCCCATAGCGTGGTAGTGGACGAAAAGTAGTGCGAATAGTGGTCGGCGATTCAAATTATTGACGACTCAGTGAGCAGAAAAAACCAGAAGACAGCTCCCCGAGAGATAGCTTTGGTCCTTGGATAGGTCCTATGTCCCTGCTCGTCGGTAGCCGGTTTGGGAACCAGTGGATACGGGACAGCAGTATCCGTAAGACGGCAGACATTGGACAAGGCGGGCAAAATTGGCCAAGCAGCGTGTTGAAAATAGCGATGGGTGTAGGTATCCATACGAAAATGACGAGACGCATGTACTCCGTAAGCGACGACGATTCGGCGGTCGACGCGAAGCGAGGATGATCGGCCGGGTCATGTGCAACCATCGAGTCTCGACCGACCACGACGTGCCGCTGAAGTGATTTTCCAGGATTTTTTGCATGCCGACTCCTTTCGGCGCGCCGCACGCGCTTGAGGCGGACGACGAATCATGGCTGGATCGTACAGTACTCTTGGAAGGCTGGACCTCTATCCCGTATCCGTTCTCATGGAAAGATCCGCAGGCAACAAGGCTCAAAGACGGATTCTTCGAGGCGATTCGACGCTCGCGGGCGGACGGCGTGTGCGGAGTGTACGGAGTGTGCGAAGTACGCGCAATAAGAGCGAGATGGTGATGCCTGATATGCGATGTGATGTCTGGCTCGCCTCGCCGGACATGCTTCCAAAGTTTTGCCGCGGGCTTCATGGTGGTCAACATCTCGCCGTGATGGCACCGTCCACCATGGTGTTTTAGTTGCCCCAAGTCAACCATGGATGAGTATGTCTCGGTTCCGATGCTGGAAAAGCATGACCAACAGAAATGCGCGTAGTTGTTGAGGTTGAAACCACATCCAAATGAAAAGAAGTGAGGTGCAGTTGCAGTACCTAGGATCTTCTCAGCTCAGCGCCCCAGCGCCCCCTAGTGCCGCCCGGAAGGCATGGACTCCAAGGAGGGACGTTCCCTGTGGACATGGAAGGAGCCGCTGTCAGGTAGAGAAAATCCCCCGACCACGTCCTGCTATCCGTACGCCGTACTGGGAGTCTGGGGCCTTACCGGAGGGTTACACAACACAGTCAGCCAAGGCAGGACGAAATAATGCCGATGGTGTGCGAGCTGGGAGCTGGAGGTGTGCAGGGTGAGCTCTGTGGGAGCTCCAGGGATGGCCCGGGTAACTTAAAGAGGCAATGCGGTGCTGCCGCTGGTCGTACCTTGGTACTCCGTAGCTTAGGTAATCATCGGATGGCGGGGCTTTGTTTCGGCCGGGCTCTGGTGCCTTCCTGACGGACAAGGTGCCCCACCTCCGCCTCCGTCCCGACCGTCAGTTGTTCAACGCCGGATAATCTGTAACGTCACTCCTTAGAGCCTCCGCGCCGGACTCCCGTCGTGCTTCTTCTGGCCTACAAACACATTGCGTACCTCAAAGCTCGTCACCGGCCGCATAGAAGACCCGATCCAGCATCAAACACAACCACCTACGATGACTCCTTGACCCGTCTCTCATCCGCCTCTCATCTCACTACACCACCGAGACGCCTAAACCCTTCATTCCAACCTCACTCCCACCACAATCTCCCCCATCTACAACAATGTCATCCATCCCCCAAACCCTCTGGTCCGCCCAGATCCCCCTCCACATAATCCACCCCTCAGCCCCAAACACCCCGCTCGTCACCTCCCTGCCGCGCTTCTCCTACCTAGCCCTCCTCGTCCCCCGCTGCTCCGCCTTCTTCCGCCACCCCGTCTCCGCCTTCCACCACGAGGACCTCCTCCTCCGCAACCTACCCCTCGGCCTCCTCGTCGACCTCTACCAGCCGACGTTACCGTGGCGCCTGACCGTCAGCGATGGCGATAGCTGGGATATCGGCGACACCTTTCTCAACTGCGTCAAAGAGGTGAGTAGAGTTACGAAAGAGACATGTCTTGTCTCTTTCTCCAACCTCTTTTCAGTGTCTTTCATCAACCTCTTTCATTGTCTCTGTTTCTCGAACCCCCGCCCCCTTCCCGTCATGTCTTCACTATCGCTCCCTTGTCTCATCCTATACATTGAGAATCAAATTTACCCATCTTCTCGGCTACATGCCCATTCCACGCTACCTGAACATATGTCTCTCATCCCAAAGCTATTTTTATTTTATTTTATTTTTTGCTTTTCCACAACGCCACGAGACAAACACATCATCACCTGCCCCTCCATCTTTCCACTTTCCACATTCTCCTCCGTCATCACCTCACACTGGAACACACACCCACATCGAACAAAGAACGCTCCAGACCTTCTTATCCAAATCCCAGTTCTTAACCTTGCCTCACCTGACTCAAAAATGCCCCTAATACACTCTAATTTACCCCCCCAAAAACAGGCAGATTTCGTCCGCTACGGCAACGCAAAACGCATAATGTCCCTCTCCAAAGCAGACACCTCGTCCCTCTGGAACGCAGTCCAAGACAACGACTACGCCTCCTTTGCAAAAATAAACGCCCTCCTCCTCAACGCCCCCACCCCCCTCCGCAACGTGCCCCTGCGCGTCTACATCCCGTCCTCGCCCCCGCCCGGGACCGGCAGCAACACCGTCACCAACACGGATACCACATCACCACCACCAACACCAGCACAAGCAGGAGACACCCCCGGAGCAGGCGCCTTCAAAGTCCTCCAAACCCTCGTCCCCCCCGTCATCCCCGGCACCCGCACCCGCCAGACCCTAGGCCGCGCGCTGCAGGCCCACCTGCCCAGCTTATTCCCCTCCAGCCGGGACCCCGTCCTCGCCAACGTCGTGCTGCACGGCTCGCCCGTGCCGTTTTCGGCGCCGTTGGAGGATTTGATGCGCGAGGCGGCGTATCCGGACGGTTGGCTTTGTTTGGCTGTCGTGTTGCTGTGAGGAGAAACGAGTTAGAGGGAGGGGGTTTGGGGGGGGGGGGGGGGGGGGGGGGGGGGGGGGGGGGGGGGGGGGGGGGGGGGGGGGGGGGGGGGGGGGGGGGGGGGTGGGGGGGGGGGGGGGGGTGGGGGGGGGGGGGGGGGGGGGGGGGGGGGGGGGGGGGGGGGGGGGGGGGGGGGGGGGGGGCGGTTAGGGATATGGGAGATGGTTGTGTGGAGGGTCTATGGATAGCACGTAGCATGGAGGGCGTCCTAAGGATTAGGCTGGGGTATTGGAGTTCATTGGAGTTCGCAATTAAATGCAGCATTTTCCGCGTCACAGGTTATGAGGGTTGGTTTCCCGATACATGTTTGCTATAAACCCTCGTGTTTCCTAATTTTCCCATGATAGTGCTTGATATACGAGTCGTTGGGGAATATTAGCAGCCGGCAGAGGAATGCTCACTCCGTTCTGAGATCTTATCCTTCTTTGTTAAATATAGTAGTGGTAATCAAGAGAGCTATTCTATAAACATTCTCGTAGACCAGGTTTGCGATAAGGTCACAGTATAGAACAAACCGAGCCGGCCGGAAGCACGAAACATCAAAAATCAAATCTACTCAGCCGTCTACCTTACCTTACATATGGCGGTCCAAACCCACCCTGGTCAAATTCCGACCGGCCAGCACCAGGCAACAAGCCATTCAAATCAGCAAACAACGCCTGCGTATGCGTGTCATAATACATATCATCGCGACTGAAATCAGCCTCCCCAAAATCCTGGCCCGTAAACTGCACAGCCACATCCGGCGGCACGGGCGTAGGCTGGATCATCGCCGTCGTCTCCTCCTGTGAACTTTGGTGCTGCTGCAGCAGCTGCGGCGGCGTCTGTGTCTGCATCCGCTGCTGTTGTGCCGGATCGTCTTCCCGCCTGGAAGAGGAAACCCCATTGGCTGGGGAGGCACGACTTGCTTCATCGGACTCTGTGCGCGGCGGCGTCGTGGAGATGTTGGCATCGTGGATCTGTCGGAGACCGCGACGCGCCATCCATGCCTCGTAAATCCTTTCCTGGAGCTGGTTGAATGCAACGCGGTCGTACATGGCGGCCCTCCTTTCGTCGTTTGCGAAGTCAGGATCTCGCGAGGCTAGGTAATCCAGCATCATATCCGTCCCAATACTGGTCTGGAACTCTCGTAAGCTGCAGAGGTCCTCCGACAGCACTCCATCGATATACGGCGACGACGGCCGCGGCTTTGAAGGGAATACAATATCCCAGATAGTGAACCATTGCTCTTCCGGGCTGTGGCTTGGGTTCGCGCGCTTTGAGACCTGTCGCATTCGACCCTGGGAGAGGCCCTCGTGGCTGGGAATGTACCCCTCGCTAACTACCTCACAGCGCCGTGCACGCGCGTGCTGGTCTCGCGTCTCCTCGTCCTGAAAGGCGGCGCCGCAGCAGGGGCAAGTGATGGGCGCGGCGTGGAACCGATAGAGGTGGCTTTTGACATACTTTATCTGGCTGAGAACTTTCTTATAGCATTGGCGGTGGTTATCGGGGTCATTCTTCCAAAAGGGGCACGCAAACATCAACTTCGATGGGTTCGCTGGGACTTTTGGCTTCTTGAATCCCGGTATCACGTTCGAGTCCCCGCCGTCTGAGGCGTCCTGGTCGGGTAGGTCGTCGGAGTGCGAGCGTTTCCTCGACGAACGACCGGAGTCGGGCGTGTTGGTGTTGACGCGTTGGCCCGAGGCTCGTCGACCTTGTCCACCCCTTTCGCGGACGTTCCATTCTTGGTAGTGTTGGAAGATGTTGCCGACAATGACGTCCATGTGCGATGCTAATGGATCATCCCGATTCAGTTGACACGGCTCCATGGGGGAGTCCGGGACTGAGAAGACGCTCGACTCGATGGATGATTCATCTCCACTATCGTTGGCAGAGTCGGACTGCTCCTCGACGGCAAGGAAGGATGGCCGAGGTGTCAGGTTTGCGTGCCAGTTGAGAGGGAGGTTGGGCGGTCCGGAGACAGGTCGCGTCAATTTAAGTGAGGTGGGCTGAAGGGGTCGTTCAAGCTGTGCGCGAGGTTCAATTGAAGTGTCGAGATGTAGGCTCGGCCTAGCGGCGCGTGGGTCTGTCAAGGTGACGGGGTGGCCATCTGCGTCCTCAAAAAGGGATAAGCGATTCATAGCCCTCCGAGTGAGGTCATCTCCAAACGTAGAACTTCTCCGGATGGATGGTGATCCGATGAGCGAACGCTGTTGTTGTGGAGCATTATCCTCGGGAACAGGCGGAATGTCCGTTGAAGTGATGCTGGGTGCCCTCTTGGCCCTAGGCGCTCTCATGACCCTGATACTCGATGTTGGGGGTCGTGGGCTACCAACTGGGTCGCGCAGAGCCGCGGTTCCCTTCATTCGTCGCAGGCCTTTGACGGAAACGGAGAGATCACTGCCATATATATGCGTCTCTGCGTCCAGACTTTCCCTGCTGATCGCCACTCTTTCGCCTTGCTTCGATAGTGCCTCGCATATTTTCGTCTTCTGCGTTGGAAGTCTGATCTTTTCCGGTGCAGCAGTCGGATCATCAGGTGAATGAGTAACGACAACGGCGCTATGTCTACGTAGATGCCTCTTGCGTCGTCGCGGCACACCCAAGGTCCCGTCGCTGTCCGACTGAGGTGATGGGCATCGGCGTATGAGGATGTTGGACCCAGGTCGCTGATAGATCTTGACGTCTCTGGTCCTCACGTCCTGATACTCAGAAGAGTCTCCGCTCCCGTCACGACTTCGTCGCCGCGTATCCGACCCATAGCCGGAATCACCCGAGATCCTCTTGCAGTGTCTCTCCTCTGTCGAACCCGGCCGCTCTTCCAAGCTGTCAACTGACGGGCTTCCCCTCTGGTGTTTCCTCGGGTTATGTGG